GGGTAACCATCTTGACGATTCCACCTTGGCACAGGTTCCCTAAATTGCTTTCTTCCTGGCATCTCTCTTCTTTTAATGGCACATGATTACAGACTCGCTGACAACCGCCCTTCGTCTCCAGATGGACTTTATTTATTTAATTCTGCCCCCGTCCGTCTGTGTGTCCCCCCCCCCCCTTCCAACGCTTTCTCTTTTCTCTTGCAGCCAGTCAAGTGACCCTTTTCCCGTGTTAACCGTTTGTAGGGTTTGCAGAAAGAACGGATGTTCCGGAGAAATCGCTCCGCTGAGGGGGCAGGCCGCCATGCCAGTGGCATCGGGGAAGCTTTTAAGTTCAGCTCAGACGCTAGGCCTGAAGATGTGGGTGTGGCTTTGCTATATTAGGGTTTGGGCTCGTGCCAACTTAGTATCCTGGTGACCATTTTAAGGCCGTCTCCACCGGGGCCAGAAAGAAGAATGTGAGTTTCTCCAGAAGGCTGAGGGTCAATGCCAGCAATACCCAAGGGGATGCCCTGTGGAGGCACCGGACTACAACACCCATAATCCCCCAGCCAGTTGGAGAATTATGGGAATTGTAGTCCAGCACCTTGGTAGGGCGCCCCCTTGCTGTTCTACGTGTGCAAAAGAAGGCTTTATCTGTGGTGGTCCTGAAAACATTCTTGCTTCACCGGGTCTTCCCCAGTAATGTTTTGTTTAACTTTTTCGGTCTGTAGCTGCAATGATTTGCGAGTTTTGAAGTCGTCTTTCATGGCTATTTTTTTTTACCTGTATCTCCTCTTCTTTGATGTACGGTCGTAAGCTAGGTTGGTTTTTTGGCAGGGGGTTGTCTTTTGCCTCAAAAGGCATCCTAGACAGATTTCAAATCGCCCTAATCTTTGTGAATCGGGTCTCCTAGCTAGCCAGCAGTCAGAAGCCGTACTCGGAAGTAAGAGGGGTTGAATTTGGCCAGAGAGAACTGGGTTTGGATCCATGCTATGAAGCTCGCAGGTTGGGGAAGGGTGGGTTAGAGAGTGGCATTGCACCAAGGAGATCCGAGTTCTTGTCCATTTTCTTAGGACCAATTCGAAAGAAATCACCCAGAAAAGGGAGAATTTTGCATGATGCCCTATAGAGGAAGAGCAAAATAATCATGTCTGATAATAGAAGAACAAGAATAAATTATTTCCCGTGTCCACCAACTAGGGACCCATAGCAAGGGTATTTACCAGGGGCTCTTTGTACCTTTGTGAACAGAGGTCTTGCATATGACATGTAGAATTCAACGCTGAAGAATGTGGCATTCTAGCACATTGTAAGCTGCCTAGGAAGGCCTCGGCAATTATAGGCGGCCTATACATATAAACAAATAAATAGATTTTCTAAAGTTTCTAGTCCTTCAGGTTGCAGAAACGTACTTGAAAATTGTTCTGTGGTCTAGTGACCTGTTCAAATAGCCGTTGGAGGGGCAAAATGTTGCTATCACCTGGGAAGATACAGATGGAGAGGGTGGTCCCATCCTGGAAAGACCAAAAATCTTACTTGTTTACATGACTGCAAACAGTTATGGGACCACTTGAATGGCTTGAGTTTCCCTTGGGTTTTTTTTGTTTCCTGTTTGGAAAATTTGTTTGTCGTTTCCCAATCAGTGCACTCCAGAAGTTTTGGATTATGATTCCCAGCATTCCTGGCCACTGGCCATCCCTGCTGAGGCTCATGGGAATTCCAGTCTAAAGCACCTGGAGGGTACCAGCTGCAGAAGGCTGTTCTCTGGGATGCAATGAAAGTCTTTTATTTCTCTCTAATTATATCTCCATGCGTCTTCAACGCAGCTTATCTACCAAACAAGGCCAAAAGAAAGCAAACAAAAAAGCAGTGTTTTCTTTTAAAATAAAAACGAACATATCAAGCATCTCCTGAGCCTCCAACACCGAATGGGTCCAAATCACAATTCTTTTAAGAGCAGCCTTGCTGAGTTTAGCATCCAACTTCCAACAGGGGACAGTTAAATCCCACCAGGAAGCACGGAAGCAGAGGGTGAAAAGTACTGAATTCTCATTTGTAACCACTGCACTGGCATGGGTAATTTCCCTTGTGCCTTCTTTCCACCCAACTCCATACGTTCCTGCGTGTTGTCATTTGTGACTTTAAAGAGGAAAATTAAACAACCAGCTATACAGTGTTGCTACCTGCTAAGGACTAAATAGCCTGATTACTAATCCCAAGTGAGCCACTGAATTCACACAAGGAACTGAATTCCCGTTTTGGTAATGCTTTCTTGTATGGTCACCTGAGGCTATTGTTAACTCACCACAGGTGATCAGGTTGGAGGCTGTTGATAAGCCTGGCCTGTCTGTGATCCCCAATATCATTGAGGCCCCTCCTGTGTGGCCTTCAACATTGTAAAAACTACAACTGTAGAATTCTCAGACTTGCTTCCTGGGATCTTGTTGTTTGCCATACAATAATCTTGTAAGGTAGACTAGGGTTGTTTCCCCCTTTATTGGAAACAGAATAACCTTGCTTGAGAGAGAGGGTGGATTGCTGAGAAGGGAATTAGACTGAGGATTTGTAGGGACAAAGCACTGATGTTTAACCACTTTGCCACCTCAGACTTTTCCTTTAGGGGGTGAAAATAAATCTGCCCCTCATTTTCCTCTTCCTGCTGTGTTGGAGATCTCTGAGCAAAGCTGGTGGCATGGTAGTGTTGGAAGTGAATGTGGAGCAGCTCCCATCTGCCCCAGCCAGAATGGCTAATGGTTAAGGATGCTGGGAACTGCCATCTAGTATAACTGAAGGGCACCGATTTGTTGTAGGTGCTAGTATGTTCTCTGTATGGTTTACAAGGGTTGGAAAACTTAAGAATACTTTATGCATTGTGTAAAGGCCATTTAAGATACATTCCTATACTGAAATTAAAAAGTTTTAAAACTCCAAGCATTCCCAGCCAGCTAGAAAACGTCCAAAAACTCCCAGTATTCCCAGCCAGCTGGGATTTGCAGTTGTACTTCCTGTCTAAACTTACCTAGAATTGAATCTTTACATATAAACAGCATCCAGAAATAAACACATAATTTTAAACAATAAGCTGTACGAATGTGGTTATCTAAACAGAAACATTGAAATGCGGAAGGAAAAAAGAGTCCACTTAATGTGGTTTTAAAAAGTTATTTTCAATTTTTTAAAAAAAAATCTTTAACATCATGTGGTGTTAAACTTATAACCCGACAAATTCTAGGCTTTTTTGGCAAAAGCATTTGGGTTAGAATATGGGGAAATACTAAGTCCGAGTAGCGCTGCCACTTCTCTTAAGAAGCAATCCTAGGCAGGGGAAAAAAACCTTGAAAAATTCCTGCATTTCCCAGCAGTGATGACTGAAGAATTCTGGGAATTGTATTTCCTGTCTAAAGAAGCATCAGGTTGTGCCCTTGTACTGAAATTAAAAACAGGGTACTGTAAGCTGTTCTAACACAGTATTCTTAGCCTGGCACTCTGGATATGCTGGCTTGGAATGATGGGCATTGTAGTCCACATATTGGCGAGTGCCAGGTTTGGCCAGACAAACTTCAGCATGCCCAAAGAGGAATGAATTCATGCTTGTCTAAATTTCTGAAGAAAAATCCATGGGAGAAAGAAAAGAGCATTTTGGACTGCTCAAGAGGACTGGAGTTGCTGCGACTCCTTTTGTTGAAACGTTCAGAAATGAGAAAAGTTTTTGTTGTTAAAAAATTGAATGGGGGGAATTCCCACAGGGAAGAAGTGTACCCCACACGGCTGTGACCGAGGCCCCACAAACTGCCGTGATCCCCTCTGCAGTGTGTAGTTGTGTGGAGGTGCCCAAATTTTCCTGAAGTTTTCCGCCTCAGAGGTGTTTGCGGTCGTGCATTATGGAGCAAGAAGGGGCGATTTGAGATTCCCACCTGGAATTGCAGTCGGCCAAAGCAAGTGCCTCTTTTGAGGGAAATGGCTTTCCGCACAGCCAGTCCTAAGAGTGTGGAATCTCCTTAGGCAGGTGCAAGCTACCTGTGAGTACTGGTTTCCTCAGGACAAATTGCAGGCGCTTTCCACCCTCAGCATAGAAACATAGAAACAGAGCGAGTCAGAAGAGGTCTCCCGGGCCATCTAGTCTGACCCCAGCTCCAGCCGGCTCCGCTCACGACATGCCCAGCATCTCCTTTCTCCTGGAGGAAATGTGCAATACATGCTGAGGTTCTCTATGGGGCAGGCCCCAAACACCTACCAGCCACTTCCTCCAGCAGCTGGTATGCAGGGCCATACGATCCCCAGTACCGAAGAGCTCGAAGCCCTTCTCACGAAGATTTTGCCTTGCCTCCTTTTAAAGCTATCCAAGGTGGTGGCATCAGCGCAACGGACAGTTGTCCAGTTTGACGCGGCGTCCTTGGATCTGGGTTGAATCTGCCCCTGTTCAGCCATGTTGGTAGATTCCTCTGGGCTGGAGTCCTTACTGTGTGGAGGAGGAAAAAACCCATTTCCCATGTTGTGCCACAGTCCTCGAGCATGATTCTCCCTGAATTCGCCTCTTTCCAAGCCCCAGAGTTTCCTCCTAGGAGAGCTGGTCCTTTGATCCTTGGAGTTCTCTTTTCCTGCACCTTTCCTGCTTACCTCAAAATTCCCAGCCCCGTCATCCTTTGAAACGGACCCTGCCGAATTCAACCCAACCTGCCCAACCGTTAGATCAGTGTCCTGGCAGGTCATAGCCTCGTTGCCCACACACGTGCGAGCTCTGTTTCCATGGGCCAGCCCATGCGTGATCAGTTTTCAGACCACTTCTGGACCCTAATCCACTTCTCTTTGTGCATGAGATGCCACCTCTGCAGAAAGCAGGCGCAACCGGCAGAGCTTATCTTCTTTGCAAATCCTGCCTCTTTTAACACAAGCCCTCCCTCCTCCCCTCCCTCCCTCCTCCCTCCCTTCCTTTCTTCCTTCTCACTCTCCCCCTTTCTCTCTCTCTCTCTGGAGTCCTAAGGTCATTTCTACAACTGCTCCGGAAGCGTAAACCAGCTTAGATTGGCAAGTGCCCGCCTCATCTATTGCCTCTCTTATAGGAGGAAGCTTTTCCCCGGACTCTCCCTCCCTGACTTTTTTTCGGAACGCCCACTGGAAACAGCTTCCACCTCCGATGTGACACTTGCATGCATAGGTAACCCCATTTCATGGCGGGGTGTCTCCGTTCTTTTCTCCCGGTCCTGCTCTAGCAGGGACTCTGGCAACGGAGGAATGCTGAACCTTTTTCTCTTCGGCAGCTAATCTTTCCGAGGCGCCCGTTCATTCGGTCGTGCGTTGGTTTGCGTGAGAAGTTGACTCGGAGTTCACCAGTCTTCGGTGCTGGGAGGAGGAGGAGGAGGAGGAGGAGGAGGAGGGGAAGCATCAAAGCAGGGCCGGGCCGGAGCCTCCACTCAGCGGTAATTTCCTTTTCTTCATGTGGGTCCGAAGAAGCAAAGGAACTGAAGCTTTTGCAAAGATGTCACTTTTTCTTCCTTTGCATCCTTGAGCTACTCCCCCTCCCTTTAAAGAAATCGGAATTATTAAGGCTCCCCAGCCCATACTTCTTACAGGGCATTCCTGAAAACAGTGACTTTGTTTTCACTTGCTGCACTTTTAGAGTGTGGGGAACGGTGCTTGGGATTTCTACTTTTGCTTGGAAGTCCTTTTTTTGGTGTGTGTTTTTTTCTGTGTGATGCAGATCTTGTGCCATGAAAGACTGGATGCTGCTTAATTTAATCAGAAAAGCAGGGCATGACACCATAATAAAATATTCTGTGACCTGCATCATTTTTTCTGCATCTTTTTTTTCTGCCGGTTTCCCTGAGTTAGTTTGCCGTTCATAATTTGCTTTGGCTTCCGCTATCTCTGCAAATGTGGGGGGGGGGGGAGAAAAGAGATGTGTTAAGTCCTGCCTCCAGCAACTGAAAAATTTGCCCCACCCCAAAGCTTCTGAGATCTCTTGTTTGCATTTGGTTTTTTGCTGTGTATTTTTTTTAAAACTTACGGATGGAGCTGCAAGGAATAGAAATTCCCCCTCTCTTTCTTGTTAAACTGAAGCCGGAGAGTTGAATTCAGCATTATTTACCAATTTCTGTGATTCTCCTGCAAAAATTCTGGGTGCGGACCAGGTTGAAGTGAGGCAAGCCTTCCTTAATGTGTGGAGTCCCTGTTGTTGACATAAATGGGTTGTGTACCACACAAGTGAATGTGTTGTGTTGTGACCCTTTGCTTCTTCCATCCCAACATCCTTCAGACGATGCTGGCTGAGGGATGCTAGGAATTGTGCCATGTTTTGGGATCCGTGTGGACGACACACCAGTGATTTAATTTAGGAAATTCACTGCCACGGGATGTGGCCAGACAGATGCCAGATGTGACCAGATGCAAGATGAGAGTATTTGGGGAGGATTCTACTGCAGCTTAATAATGTTGGGGAAAGCGGAATTTGAAAAAAATGCACTTGGAAAAACCCAATTGCTTATCTGCAGAGGCTATCTCAGCTGGTGATGACTACCCAGGAAAGGAATCTTGGATTCTGTGATAACTGGATGAAAACTTTGGCCTGACCCATGCCCACCATGTGGAAAATGCAAATTCCAGGTTGGGAATCATTAAGAAAGCAATCTAAAGTTGTGATACCTTTACACAAATCCCTGGTACAACAGGAAATGCACCTGGCCTTTGTGCTTATAAAGAGAAATTGGGGGAAGTTGTAGATAAGATGGTAAAGTAACTGGAACAACTCCCATAAGGGGAAGGGATACAGTGGTGGTGGAGCCTTTTAGTTTACCTGAAAGTCCAGGACAAGGGTATAAAAGAGGGAGAGATTAGAGATGGAGAGCTTTTTCTCCCTTTCAGAATCTTGGAGCCCAAACAGGTCATCCTGTGAAGCTGGAGGGTCAGAGATGCAGGGCAGAGGAAAGGAAGGATTTCGTCACACCATGCAGAATTAAATTACATGAGATGCCAAGATGGCCACCCAGGTGGGCAGCTTTCAGTGTGGAGTAGCTCCCTTTGCCGAGACCAAGGCTATCCATGCTTCAAGTCTTCTTGGCTTTTCTGATGCTAGCTGCTTTGGACAGGCAATTCTTAAGTCTTCCTTATAAAAGAGACCTTGTGCAATTCCCCCCCTCCCCCGCCACACACACACAGCTGGGATGGTGTTGTCGGGGCTTGTGAGCATACTGCTGGTTGTGCCCCCCACCCCCACACACACCTCCTGTGCTGAGGGGCTGCGATTTCGGACTGTGGGCTTCCTGGCTGGAAGTTGAGTTTCTTCACTGCTCCCCGACACATGCCACTTCTGTAGTAGTTTCATTTTTGGTTTACTTTTGAGTATCATGCAAAGCGGGTAGCCCGAGAACTGCTTCCGGTGGGGCTATGGATAGCTTTGCTCCTTCTCTCGGCCATATTCTGAATGACTCCGTGCCGAGACCCCACGTTCTCCGGCCTGGGAAACAGACCAGGAGATCTCTGATCTACTTGAGCTGAGCTGCTGAACTTGATACCAGAGGGGCATTCTGGCCTTTCTAAGTCCTGGCCAGGTTCTTGTGAAAGACTCACTCCCTTGTCTTGTCCAGCCTCCTTATCATTTGATGGCAGATGTTTGGAAGGTTTTCTTGGTCTTGGTAATGCTGTTCTGTTCTGTTCTGTTCTGTGCCGAGCGGGTGAGAAGCCTCTGCTAAAATAACCTGCTATTTTTCGCTCCACCCCTTTTACCTTTGGAATGTCCCCCCCCCCAGAGCTTCCCTGGAATGGAATTTGGCCCTCGGGCCGCAAGAGGCTCTTCACCTCTGTCCTCAGCTGAAAGCTGTGACCAGAAATCTACAGGCTGTGGTCTTTGGGAAAGGGGACCCCCTAAGATGAGGAAAGGAAGAAAGCAAGCTTAGAAATGCAATAGGATAGCAGCTTCCTTCCCATGACAGAAAACCAGTTTTGCATTCAGCATGGCTTCAGTTCAGAACCTTGAGCCCCAAGTTTGCCATTCATCAAAGAACAGTGCTGGGAAGGGACCCCGAGGGGTTGATGCCGAGGGAAGGGAAGCCGTACCAGGGTGGGTACCTGCAAGAACCTGGCCGCAGATAAGGCACTTCCTAAATGCCAGGGACCTGTCTGGCTGGCGACCTGGTTATTCTGGTCACAGCTTCCGATGGGTGGGGGAAAAGTTTCCAGTGTTGGGTTTGAGGTGGGCAGCTTTGGAACGGGGGAGTTTTTGAAAGCGCCTGCCATCTAAGCTGCTTGTAATATTTATTTACCCAGTATTTTAAAGCTTAAATAATTTTAATCTGGTTTTATTAATAATATCCTGAGTCGTATGTTATCTTGTTATTATAGTCATGGCCTGTTGTATTGTTTGTTTATATTATATTGTAAGCCGTCCTGAGATAACTGCTGTATAGGACAGGATCAAAATATCCTAAATAAATAAATATTTGTTTATGACTACTTGCATCCAACCTTTCCAAAGAGGCCCAGGAGGGTGTCCAGGACCCTCCCACTCTCATTCTTACAACAACCCTGTAAGGTAGGCTAGCCTGAGAGTCCAAGATCGGCTCCCAGTCATCCATCCATGGCTGAGAGGGAACTACAAAAGCAGTCTCTCCTGTCCCAGTCTGACGTGCGAACATCTCTTAATATTATTACATATTAATAATTCCCCCACAAACTGTGTGGCAGAGGAAGGCCATATCCTTCCCTTTGCAATGCATTCGTTACCGGTTTGGAAGTCAAGTGACGTGAACACAAGGTGTGGTTTTGCATAATCCCCAGGTCTTCCCGAGACTATAATGTAAGCCATTCCGAACAATAAATAAATAATAATCGCCCTGGCCACCCACCAGCATGTGGATTCCATCGCCTAGCAAGCTCCCCTGAGTAACTCCAGGTACTGCCTTCTTGTTTTCCTGCTAGATTCTTTCTCGTTGGATCACCCCTGCCCTGAGGCCTGAGCGGACATTTCTCCAGAACCCATGAACGGTGGGTGCAGGTAGGAGCACATGGGTTGGATTGTCGGTTTCGGAGAAGCCTGTTTGGGGTGGGTGTGGGGGTCTTGGCCGTTCGCTTTGCAGTGAAAACCCGCCCGGCAAGGCAGGCTAAACGGAATAGCCTGCCTAGGTGTGGATGTGGTTTATTTATTAACTATTGATGCAACTTCCATTCCTTGACCGCTCCACAACACCCCTGCAGGCCAAACACAGGTCAGTGCCGTGGTCTTCCTTGCCCCGCTTCCCACTTTTCTGGAAATATTTGGCGCTGGTGCAGAAAGCAAGAAACTGGTCTAGGTGAGGATTTTGAGTGAGCCAGGTTGATGCTCTTCCATGTGAGAGTTGCACTTTTAAAACCGGGTTGGGTTTTAAAAGGTTCCGCTGAAGCGGATCGACTCTGCTTGCCTCTCCAGAGTAAGCCTCGGCACCTGCTTCCCTTGCGCCATGTCACGGGGGATTGCGTACGAGGAGGACTCATTTCAAAACACTAGCGGCACAAGTCTGGATTTACTCTTTCCCCAAAAGTACCGCATTCAGCTGCAGCACCCACACAAATTCTCCCACTGCAAAATCTTTTCACATGCCACACACTGACTCTGGGGTTGTGCGATTCATCGCGACACCCACCTTTGCACGGGGCTGGCAGTTCCCCATGGTTCAGCACTGTCTCTATTCAGGACTTTTCAAATCTGGGTGTCCTTTTAGGGGAGTCACTGTTGTTGTTGTTTGTTGTTGTGGAGTTAAAAGGTGCTGGATAGTGAAAACAGCCTCTCGTATGTTTAAGGAGCTTTTCCCAACTAGATGCCCTCTCTCTGTTTTAGCCTACAGATCCCATAAGCCCCAGCAGAAGCTGGTGGGTATTGTTGTTCAAAACGTAGAGCAGGCCTTTGTGGAGGAAGGAGACTCTTTAGAATATCCCTTTCTTTATGTAGGCGATTATCCCAGTAGCATTCTTGGTTTTATTTAATTTTAATACCTCCAAGCTGTCTTGACAATTCAAGGCAAGAGGCTCGAAATTTCTTCAAAAGAGAACAAGATAAGGTTTTCCCATCCTCTCTCAACTTGCACCAAGCCCAAACAGTGGCACCCAAGGGGCATTTATTGTGCAAGACTTGAATACCGCTGTAAAACAGCCAGAGAGCTTCGGCTGTTGGATCATATAGAAATAAAGGGCGCTTCGGACAAGCTTGGTGTCGAATGGGGGATTTGAGGATGGGGCACTTAACCCCTGGAGACCGGCTTGCCAGGATCGAGCCCCGATGGATGCACAGACCTAATGCGGCTTTTGGGGCCTTTCCAAAAGCCCACAAGAGTGTCACAGCTCTTGTGCCCTGCTCAGAGGGGTTTAGAGAGAAGCGTTGTGCCTTCTGGCTCTCCGAGGCTCAGAGGTGCAGCAGAATCGAGCCCCTGCCCAGCAAAGGGGGTGGGCAGGATGGGGTCTTTGGAGCACTGCATGCGTCCCGGCTGAAATGGGGGGGGGGGGGTTGTGCAATTTTTTTGCCCAACAGACAAGCCGCAATGTGTGGCTTTCATGCTCTTTTCCTCGCCTATGTTGTAGGAATGTTGTGCGAATAGACAGTGGGGACCCACAAGCCTGTGCCGCCCTGGGGTTTTTGGCAGAAGGGGGAATCTTGGGTGGAAATCCAACAGAGGACGAGAACTGGAATGTCTCGGCCCCCAGGTTTTATCCAAAAGAGCCAGCATTGCCGTGGGGTTTTGGGAGTCATGTGTTTTAAGCTCTTCGGAGCCAATGGGACAGACAGCCGTGGGCCCCCCAGCGTATTTCTGTTGGAGAGAAGACCTTCCTTGCCTTAAGATGTTCTTGGGCAGTTGCGGGGCAGAAGGTTGGCAGCTCTGGAGCAGAAGGAAGGCCATGCATGGCTCAGCAGGAGAGGTTGAGTACTGCACCAAGAGGCTAGGTGGTGAAGCTCTTTGTACGTGCCCAGGAAACACTTTGCCCTGGGCTTAAAGGGCACGCCTTCAGTCAGTGAAATGGACAGAGCTTTCATGTCCAAACGGAAGGCTCCATAAGAAAAGCAGGGAGCTGCTTTTGAATGGAGAGGTGTCATGCTGCCCTAACAGCTGCACGGCAGGTGGGAATTCAACAGGTGAAGCAGTTTTCTTGCTTGGGAGGATAATGGACGTTGGGAGAACTTCTGGATTTCCACCTGCCACGAGTCTGCCACGCATGCCTCTTTTTGCCTGAGGAAATGACCATGATGTTTGGAAGTGAATGAGGGTCTCAGGGAAAACATTTTCAGGCTGTGATCCAGAAAGAGAACCAGGAATTGGGCTCTCCCAATAAGAATATGACTGGTATTTAATGGAGGGTGGGGGTGGGCCTCTGCTCCTTCACAAGGATGCAGTGGAGGGGGGCAATGCCCCATTGTTGGTCCTGGGGGCTTTTCTGTTAGGACCATCTTTTGCATTTCCATGCAAATTGGAGAAACCCCACCCCCTTCCCTCCAGCACTGCATTTTCTGCTTATATTCAAGACCAAAACAAAAAACCCAAAACAAAAAGCAATATGTCTTCAAGTCTCCCCTCTTGCTTCCCCCTCCCACACTTTTAATTGGCCAATTTTTTTTTAATGCAACCTGTTAAAACTGGGACTCTAAACTCCCCCCCTTTTATTTATTTATTTATTTTGCAGGCTGGGTGGGTGGACCGTAAATCCCTGAAGCTTTGCGGGGATGCTGTCTTTTGGGGGAGGTGTTCCTGTGCTGGTGATTGCTTTTTCCCTCCAGCTGCCTTCAGCCCGGCCTGGCTGAGATGCCTGTGACTTGACAGCGAGGGGCAGCGTGGCACAGAAGGGGTTAAGGTCTGCCATTTTGTTATGTAACACCCTTAATGGACATATCAGTGAATGCCATGAAGATGGCAGGGATTAACCCTTTGTGGCTTGCAGCCAGGCCTGCGAAGTTTCCTCCTCCTCCTCCTTTTTTTTTTTTTTGTAAAGGTGCCTTTTTATTTTAATCCCCAGAATGCAGCTTGCTCCCCCCCTCCCAGTCTTTCAAACATCACACATTCATTGCTATCTCCACACTACTATTAGGGAAATTCCTAATATTAATTCATTGAACTTTTTTGAGCAGCGCAAGCAAATTATCCCATAGTCCCGTATGATATTTTTTCCCTTGAATCCATTGTTCTGGGGGTTGCTGAGAGGAAGATTTTACGGGTTTAATAAAGTAGAAAGTCTTGGAGAGGTAGAAAAATTAAGGCTAAAAAGGAGTGCAAAAACACTGTGCTTGGGACAGCAAGGATAGTAAAAAAAAAATCTTGGAAAAAAAGGATTCCCTCTACAATTTGTCAACAGTTGGCACCCACATGCCCCTTTCTTACTTTATGCAGTTTAAGTAAACTTAGGATTTTTCTGCTTGCTGGCTTGCTTGTTTCAAGCTTTTTTAAATACCATGCTATCACAAAGATTTCGGGCCACATGTGCCTGGGAGGCCAGGATGGCAGACTTGGAAGTTGGAGATTTGTGAATGGAACCATGGTCAAATTGACATGCGGCTGGTTCTGTCCAACTTTCTGCTCTCTTTCTACAGCAGCACAGACTTAAATTTCCACTAGATGCCTTCAGCTGTAGAAAATAAGCTTTTTGCCTTTTTAATGCGCCCCTCTTAGTAGACCGACTTCTTTAAGGAGTCTCTGATTCATTAGGTTCTCTGTCCGGGAGGGTTTCTGGTTCATAACGCCTCCCTTGCAGTGTTGTTCTGTTTCTTGTTCAAGATGAAATGGAGGTAGGATAGTTAGAAGATTGTCTGAGCAAAGTCTCTGGCCAACTGGGGATTTGGGTTCCAATGTAAGCTTCCAGTCTCTCAAAATTCAGTGCAGTTGCAATATAGTTTCAGTCTGGTAGACAACAACCCTGTAAGGTAGGCCTCCCCTTACATCTGTCTTCCTCACAAACCATGTTCCTCAAATCAAAGTGCTACTTCATACTCCATCAAGAAGAGAAGGTCAAGCTTTGAGTATTCAGAGCACGGTCTTCCCCATGGTAGCCCCAAGCCTGTGGAACAATCCTTTCTCCCTGGTTTCACTCAGTACAAGCTTGTAGATCTTTTTGGCTCCGTTTCAGAAGGATTGCAAGCCCCCGAGCAGGGGGAACCCCAGACACCCAGATTTTGTTGGACTCCAGTCCCCATGAGCCCTAAACAGCACAGCCATAGCCAAGTATGATGGAAGTTGTAGTCCAACAGTACCCCTGGAAAAACCTTTCCCAACCCACTTCAGGCATTTGGGAGTATGGTTTCCATCATCCATGGCCACTGACTGTGCTGGCTGGGGCTGCTGGGGGTTGAAGTTCCAAACTTCTCGGGGGGCAACTGCTGGGAAGGCCAGCATCCCGCCCAGGCAGCCTGTTAGCCGGTGTGGCGCTCTTGCTTGTGCCGTCCAAAATTCAGGGAGAAAACATTTCTGTGGCACCCCTGTGCAAGCGGCTACCCTTCAAGGAATTTTGCCTGCCCGCCCCCTTGGTAGATTTTTAGGAGCAGGGCAAAAAATTAAGCCCTCTTGGCGTCAGGGTGTGTTTTCTGCCTCTGCACCAGGCTGAGGTTCTGATTTGCAGACAGATCTGCGCTTCAGAGGAGGCTGCGATCGCCTGTCGTTTCGTGTGGACTGTGGCGTTTGCAAATGCGGGATGTGCTCTGGAATTGATGTGCATGTGGTGTCAGGATTTCGTTTTGCTGCCGGGTGTTTAGACCTCCTCCTCCCCCACAAGGTGAATCGGCTCATGTAGCAAAACATCTGCAGCAACACATCTGGAAGGCACCAGCCTTTGGAGAACATTCTCAAAACGTGTGAATGAATGAGCTTCATCAACAGCTGCCTTATGCCAGGTCCATCTCACCCTATGTAGCCTGCTCTGACCGGCAGCTGCTCTGTGGCTTTTCCACTGGAGACATCACCCTTCAGACCTGGGACTTCCTTAATGCAAAGTACGGGCGCTACTCCCAGGGTAGGAGGAAGGCAGAACTGAAAGTGTGTGAGAGGGAGAGAGCAGCAAGCTGCTGAACCAAGTGCGGCTTTGCAGCCCCGACTAGATGTCGTGCCAGGATCTTGCGGCTGGCCTGCAGGTCGTTCTATTCCGCTATTCAGGTGTGTGGGCGCTCTGTGTCAGGAGCTGGCGGAGTCCATCAGCGGCCCCGTCTTGCCCAAGACTGTCCAAGGATCTCTGACCAACTTGAAGGGGGGATTTTAACGCTTACGCTCCGTTGGGGAGCAACCGCCGCTGTCGTGAGCCTTCTGGTGCGTGCTTTGCACGTCAGCCGTCCTTGGCTGGGTCGCTCTGGCGGGGCCCCTGGGGAGACGCTGCTTGTCCGAGCAGGCCCTGCAGGCCCCAGATGGACAAAGAAGCCACAAGGGGCTCAGTGGATGGGAAGTTCGCCCCACCCGTTTTATCCCCATAGCCACCTTGCGAGGTAGCTCGGGCTGTGTGTGGGGTCCCAGATCCACGAGAGCGCTTTCAGCTGAACGGGGATTTGAACTGGGGGCTGACTCGCTCCCCTTCCCACAGGCCTGCAGTTTGAGAGCGGGGAGTCGCCAAATAAAGGAGAAAGGAAGAAGGCATCGAGGTGAAAGCGCAAGCAACGGGGTGAGGATAGGAGAGCGCAAACGGGAAGGGAAAAAGATGACCCTATCACCTCTGGCTTCATCCCAGCGTGCCCCCAACAGATTACCCACAAGAAAACATGGGCCTTGACTCGCACAACCAGGGGCATTTCCTGCCCCCGTTGGATGGGCTTCAAGGAGGCGGACGGACCTCCAAGTGCAATTTAAACTCACTGCGTGAAAACAGTGGTCACAGAATTGGCTAAAAGTTCCTTGCTTTCCTTAACGACTGCCAACAAACTCCTGCTGACCCAGTCACTGAGTCCACTTTAGAAACGTTTAGTATATACCTGATTATTTTCTCGAGTGTTAAAGCTGGAATGCATTCCTAGTTTTCTCAGCTGCTCCTACCCTTCCTGTAATTTCCCCGCAGTTGCGAGAGAAAGTGGTGATTGCCCCAGGAACACTTTCCCCTTGGCCCACCTTCGAGCAGGAAGTGGTTCGTAGGTGATCGGATTCTGTCCCAAACCTCCATGTTGGAAAAGATGTAGCCTGAACAATAGCAGGTTTGTCATCTTTTGTTTAGAGGGAGAGAGGTGAGCAAATGCATTCCTTGGCTGAGAAGGCAAGGTTGCCAGCCTGTCTCTGGGAGAGCAAGAAAACCATCTGTGGAAAGGTGTTTTTCCATATTACTGCGAAAGGTCAGGAAATAATAAAATTTTAACTCGCCTATGGCGAGTTGAAAATTTCCCCCAGGTAGCTAAGCAAAGAAATTGGACAAACTTTATAGGGTTTTTCTTTCTGTCTCTTAGTCTAGGTCAGGGGTCAGCAACTTTAAACACTCACAGAGCCATTTTGACCCATTTCCCACAGAAAAGAAAACACCGGGAGCTACAAAACCCTTTTGACATCTAAAATGAAGATAACACTGCATATTTCGTTTTTTACCTTTATGCTATGTATAAAAAAAACTATAGTATGTTGCATTTATGAAATCAATGAATGATTCTTTTATATAATCTCCATCTGTGAACAGTTTCCCGTGCCTCAGTATTTCCTGAGCGGCCACGAAACTAGCGTATGTAGTTGAATATGCAGACTTAATCCACTTCTTGAAATTTATTTTTATTTTATTTTATTTTATTTTTTTATTTTCCGATTTATATCCTGCCTTTTTCCTACAAAGGGCTCAAGGCAGCTTACATCGTTTTCCTCCTCCATCTTCTCCCCACAACAACAACCCTGTGAGGTAGGTTGGGCTGAGAGGCTGTGACTGGCCCAAAGCCACCCAGTTGGCTCCATGGCTGAGCGGGGACTAGAACCCAGGTCATCTGAGTCCCAGTCTCACGCTCTTAACCATGACACCACACTGGCTCTCAGAAATGATTGTTGCTCAGATCAACATTCCGCATCAGTTCCAAAATGGCTTTTTTTCTCTCATCTCCATCCAGATATTTTTCAGCAAAGGCTGTGTGTTTATTCTGGAAATGTCTTGCACATTTGACTTTTTGTTGTTTGCCAATTTCTCACCACATATTAAGCATACTGGTAAACCAGTCTCGTCAGCAGTGAAAGCAAATGAATCTGCCCACGTACCGTTAAATGTTTTCTTCTGAAACTTTTCTTTTCTTGGATTTACCCATGGTTGGCCTACCGGGGGTTGAAAAGCTCAATAAATCGCGTGCAGGCGGGTGTTGTACATTGGCGGTTGTGACGTGTATTTTGAGCGACGGAGCCGCAGCAGAGGGATGAAAGAGCCCCATGTGGCTCCGGAGCCGCGGGTTGCTGACTCCTGGTCTAGGAAGAGTATATTTAAGCTGCTCAGTTTGTAAAATAATGTGGGTTAGTAAGGAGTGTTTTTGTCGCTTGTTTGTTTTGCTGTTTCACTTTGTTTCTGGGCATGTTTACAAAACAAGCTAGATGATTAAAAAATCCTGGAGACCTCTTGAATGCAGGTTGTGAGTTGGGTGACATGGGACACTTACTTCCCTGTGTAATCTGTCCAGGACAACGTTTAGCCATCTCCCTGGTTTCTTGGGATAGGTAACGACTGTAAACAACTGTGCTTTTTTCTAAAGTGCTTTTTTTTCTTTTCTGATATGGCACAGGTGACAGGCAGGTATGTGTTGACCAATGGCCATCTGTGGCTTTGTAGGCAGAGTTTGGCTTACAATACCACCACCATTTTCCTGCAGTGCATCCTGGGAAACGAGGGTTGAAGGTGCTGTACAAGTTTCCTGGTTCAGACAGGACAAAGCCAGGGCTGCCTGTTCGTGGAATTGAATGGACCAGCAGGTATCTACTTCAGTCAGACACTGACTCCAGAGCTGGAAGATGACTGCTGTCTTTATTTGAGGGCTCCAACGGGATGCCTTTGTGTACTCTCTTCTGCCTTTCCAGACTTGTTCCTTAAGATTTTTACTGAAATGCTTTCTCACTGGAGAAGGGCTGCCCTCCGACGCCATCTTGGTCTGCTTGCGTCGTGTTTTAGGGTTGGAACCTCTCATCCCACTTCTATTTTTCCCCTGCCAAATCACTTTGCTTTCACTCTGAACAACTTGCTTTGGGGGAAAGCCCCACTGCCGCTGCTGTTTTTATGAATAAGCAAGCTTTTTCTCGACCCCGTCGGCCTCCATTTTGTGAGAGCGCCCATGCCACTCTTAAAATTCCCAGTATGCCCACGGACCCAAAGGGTTGGAGACCTCTCCCTGTGCGGTGTATTTTAGCCTTTTCAGAAGCAAGGACTTGGACAAAAGTCTCTTTAAACTCTCTTCTCTGGGCAAAAAGCGGAAAACTGGGACAATATTCTCCCTCAAGTCTTGTGAGCCCAGGAGCATAATCCAGACGGGACTTGCATGGTAAAGATTTGTCGGGTGATGGCTTGCTGCTTGCGTAGGAGACGAGACATTTCAAAGGGCCCCGTGCCTCTGAGCACACATAATAGCTGTTTGACCCCAGCATTTTCAGAACCGGCGGGATTCTGTTCGGCGCGGATAAGTTCTCACACAATCAGCGGAGCGAGCGGGCGCCTTGACCTCATTTAGATTCAGGTTCTCTTTGCTCATAACTTGCGTGGCTCAACAAAACTCGGCCTCTGTTTGGTTTTTAAAATGGATTTATTTTATTTTATTTTATTTTATTTTATTTTATTTTATTTTATTTTATTTAAACCATTTCTATCCTGTCCTTTGCATAGCCTCAGGATGGCTTACTAAGGAAGAGTCCAGAAAGAACTGGCTTGGAACTGAATCTTGGTTCCTTCTGGAAAGGTTGCATCTGTCTTGGGCCTTCGGTCCAGTGCTTCCGCCTGGGTTTGTTCCCAGGTATTAGCACTGGGCCACTGAATGGGAGAGATATACACTAATTAATTAAAGTGCTACACAGTGAGATCCCATTGCCCTTATTACATCCATGCATTTCCTGCTTTAAATGCATGACCTAAAGACTATGGCAGGGTGGGTGGAGCGCATGCATGCGAAGGATTCTGAATTGAATTCCTAGGAACTCCAGATTCGACTGGGAAAGCCCTCCCTCGAACATTATGAAGTGCTGGTCTGTGTACTGCTTACAGAGTAACCCTCGCTAAATTAGCCCTGCATTAAGGATCATGAGGACTGGGATCTTATTTTATTTGTAAAGAGAGCACCATAGCTCTGTGTTAAGAGTATTCGCCTGAAAGCCAGAGCAACTGCTACCAGTCCATGTGTTCCAAACACTCTTCTTGGTCCCCACCAAGGTTTTCTTCCCCTGCCCCTAAAAAATGCACACATTTTCCCGCCAGCACTGCGGTTGGGGCTAAAAACTGTGGATTCAGAGACTTGTAGAATGAGTCAATTCCTTAGGGAATAGACAATAGCTGAGGTGTAGGGATTGACGGAAACTTGAGAAATTCGGCTTGTAAACTCCACTCAGACAAGAACTTGCTGGATAACTTTGGGAGCATCGTGGCCTCTTGGCTTACCCTACCGCAGAGGAGTGTTGTTATTGTAATGAGCATGAAATGCATAGGAACTTTGCAGGAAGGAAGATAGACTATCAATATTATTGATAGATAAATAATTTCCAGAAAGAAACAGTGCAGGAAAAGGCGGCTGAAGTGGTTAGGGGTCTAGAGCAACTCGATCATTTAGGAAATAATTAGGAAATGAAGAAGGAAACCAGAGCGACTTCCACAGCGGGGATGCCTGCTGTAACTCCACCGGGCTTGTCCGCATCTCCCACCTGCAGGGTATGAGTCCTGCTGGAGTAACACCGGAGTATCCCCGGTGCAGGTGGAAAAGCAGCTTTCTAGACCTCATGCTTTCAGGCTACATTGCTCCACACATGGATCCTTTTGAAGGACGTGGTTTGATTCTTCCACTAGCTCAGCAGAGGCCTCTCCCGGCTGGGACCGCTGCTCTTTCTTTGGACAAGGGGCCTGAAATTCCTACAGGACAAGCACTGCTCCGAAACCTCACTTTGCTTTCCTGTTTAAGTGGAAGCCGTTCTCAGCAAGCGTGATCGAACTTTGTGGGGGGGGGGGCTTGCATCCTTGCCCTTCTCACCGGCCTCCTTTTTTGCCGCTTTCTCATGCAAATTCCAGAGATTTTGATCTGCCAAAATCATTTTCTCCAACTCCGTCCCCACAATGCATGGTTCTCACCAACTTTTCTCTTTCCCTTTTTGGTGCTTCCCGCCTCCCCCCGCCCCCCCCCCGCCTTCCCCCTCCCCAGCTGGGCCCATCTGTCCCGTCCAACCCTTCCCTCCTTGGGTTGCCTCCTGGACTTTGCTCCAAAGCTTTGTGGGGGGGGTAGTGCTGGTGTCCTGTGCACCCGCCCCTTTAAGAGGGCAGCTCCCGGGACTTGGTATGGTGGAATGCCAGTCGCAACCCTGCGCGAACATCTCCGTCGCGGCACGCACGGAGCTGTGCGAGGGTTAACAACACGGAGTTTGTTGTCTGGAACCAGTTCAGACCGGTTTTCTGGAAAGGGCTTTGTCTCTCCCACTGAATCCTGGGAAAGGGTCACGGTTTAGATGCAGTGATGTCATCATCCACAAACTGACTCAGCGCTTTCCCCCCCCACCCACCCCCCCAGACATGTGTGTGTGCGTCTGTGTCTGGCCAGGTACGGCCGGACAAGCTGGGCCCAGAAGCAGCCCTTCTGGGGGCAAAGCCCGCCCGCCCCCGGCACCCCAAGCAAAGTTTTGGGCACCCCCCCACCAAATCTCCCTGACTTCCAGTTGCCCCCAAAGGAGTTCTGAGCACTTCCTGTGCGAGCCGGTTGCCCAGGGCGGGGGGTGCTCTGTCTGCAGCCGGGCCAGCAGTTGGTTTAGCGAGAGACCGGGGGGAAGCGGGCACGGGCATGGGCCCCGAGCCGCCCTCCCAGGGAAGCCCACCTGCACCTTCTATCATGGGGCTTTCTCAGAGAGGTTTCAGAAGTGTCTGTCCCGGAAACAGGTGCTTGGAGCACCTCAGCTGGGATTTTAAGGGAAGTACCCCGGTGTCCTGCCCAAGAGCGCAAGCAGGTTGCTTTGGGGAGAGCTGCTGACTTGTGCTAGCTTTTTCCAAAGAGTTCTGTCTTGGCATGGTTCTGTTCCTGGGGAAAGGAGAAGTTTGGGTCGCTTGTGCATGAGAACGTGATCTCCTTGAGCCGGTGGTGCTGAAACTTGCTATCGTGCGATGCCTGGTGCCCAAATAGCTTATGCCTTCTTCTGTTTCTCACCTTACTTCTCCAGAGCACCATAATGACGGAAGAAGCTTGCAGGACGCGAAGTCAGAAGCGAGCGCTTGAACGGGAGGTCACCCAAAACGACGTGGACTGTAAAAAGATGAAGCTAGATAAGGGACTCTTGGGGGCCTCCGAGGCCAATGCTGAAGGGGGAGACCTTAAGATAAAGACGGACTCTGGTTCCGGGAGAGTCCAAGGATTATTAAAAGGCGCTGAGATGAAAGCTGCCATCAAAGTGGATTTACCAACAGGAGATGAGCCGGTGGACATGAGTACCTCGAAAAGGTAGGTCACTGCTCACTTTTAAGAAATGGATGGATTGCCTTCCAGATGGCAACAGAAAATGGCAGCAGGAAGCAGTTCCTTGTCCTGGTGGTCAGTGGAACTCCCTGCCACATGAGGCAGTGCCGACTTTTACACTGCTTTAGACGTGCGAACTTAATTGTCGTGAGAATTGCTCCAAGGACTCAAACTAGTTTCACATCAGTGGCCAGAAGGATGCCTCCATTAAACTCCCAGAGCAAATGTGATAATTTTGTGCTTACAGCCACTCGGTGACAATAGGTTCCCAAACTTCGAACCTCGATTTGGAAAAAGAGCAGTGAAAATGATTCTGGAGCAAAGCTCCTGCAAGAGGTGTCTTCAGTAACGGGGCTGTTCTGCTTAATAAAATGGCGAGGAAGGCAGGACAGGAGAGAGGTATTTAAAATAAGAGAAAGTGGAGAAGAGGCTTCTTGCTCGCTCGCTCTCTCTTCCATGACTCTTGAACCCAGGGTCATCCCATGAAGCTGATGGGTAAAGAGGTTTAAGAGAGATGAAAGGAAGGTCTTCTTTACACAGCGTATAGTTAAACCACAAAATTTGCTGCCACGGGAAGGGGTTATGGCCACCGATCTGGATGGCATTAAAAAGGGATTGGACAGATTCATGCGAGAAGAGGCTCTCCGTGGCTGCTTAGCCTTGCTGGCCGTGGGCTAGCTAGGTCCTTCACCAGAGGTGCCACGTCGTTAGCTCTTTGCCTGTGCACACGTTCACACTTCCATTTAGCCAGTACTGTGCAGAAGTTGCCCATTGAGCAGTCTTGCAGCGTATCTTGTTGAAACAGCCGAAACAGAAGATGGAGCAGGGCAACACTGCACTTTCTTGATAGCCGGAAGTGCACGCTTCTGAAGGACTGCCCCAGAGTGAGGAAATTAAAGGCAATTGTGCTTTCGTGAGGCACCAGACACGAAGCAGTGGCGAAGGAGAGAGCATAGAGAGGGAGCTGACCGGGGAAGGGGGAACCCCACTGCGACCTTGTCTGTCTGTTGGGGGCACCCTGCCTGGCTCGGTAAGAGCCCATCCATGGAGTGTTTTGCAGCCCGGCTTTGCAAGGAGAAAGCAACATTCTTGTGTTCCTAAAAGGCACAACGCAGAAGGAAAAGGTGCGGGGAGGATGTGCAAAAGGCAGTTTACAGTCTGTAAGGGTTAGGCAAGTTCTCCCGTGAGCTTTATAGAGGAGTAAGAATTTGGACCAGCCTCTCCCCACTCGGGTTGTCTAGCATCAACAGCAGCTTTCTAGGAAGGTCCCACCAAAGGCTTTCCTAATCCCCTCCGTTCACAACATTTAGGGGTGAGTGGCCTTTCTTCTGTACCCAAATCCACAACGGCGGCCGTGGTAGCACCCCGTTATCCAGCCATCCACAGACCCCAAGGGGTGGTGGGTATGAGGAGGGAAGGGCAGCAAGGCCTCAGCCCCTATGGATGCTGCTGGGGCACATGGGTCCTGGCCTGCTTGCTGACCCATGATACCTGAGCTTGCTAGGATGGCCCAATTTGTAATGGACTTAATTGAAAGTCGGTTCCTGGCAGAGCGGAGCGCGACATGCTGAGCTTCCTCTTGGGTTGTGTCGCTTTTCATGTTTAGATCCATAATGATATGCAATCTGGCTTGCAAAAGCTCCTCAGCTCCCAGTTGTCTTGCATACACACATGCATGTGTCCATCCGAGTCTCCAGAACGTCACTTTCCACTTTTCCAACGCTCTTGCATTTCTTGCCACCCCTCCTTGAAATAGAGATTGGAAACCCAAGACCTGAAGCGTCGTTAGAGAAGGTTCAGCTTTTATTTCATCTGTCCCACATTCCGCCCGGGAGCTCAGGAAAAACATACTTTGGGGACAGAGGGGAGGAGGTTGTCCAAGAAGAGGGTCATAATTTCCAGAATCGTAATGATGCAGCTTCCCAAACTGCCGTAAGAGAGCAACATGAATGCTGCAGATATTCCTTGAATTACAGGGCGATTGACATCTGTCCTGTTAGAGAGTCATTCAGGATCTAATTAGTGCTGATTAGGCATGTCTTTTCAGTTTTTTTTTAAATGTTAAGCATCATAGAATCTTTTTGTATGCAAAGAAATATGTGAAGTATATCCATTTACCCAAAATAAATGCACAATTTAAACTTGCTGAATCTGGAATCCTCCAGATGGGTTGGACTACAGTTCCAATCATTCCCAAACAACATGTATTGGCCTCAGTCAATGCAGGAGTATGGTCCAGTGCTGATGGTTTTTTTGGACAGATCCGAAAAGGATAGACATGTCACATGAAACCTTATCTGGTTTGCCAAAACCTGGTTTCCCACTGTGTCCAGACGCATCCTCACAAACACATTACAGTTTGCTAACGAGCCGCACACTGCAAATAGAAACCATGGTTTATAGTTGCTTAAGAAACGTGGCTTGTTTGGACAATGATTTGTCCTGATGTCTGAACCCGAGAACTGTGGCTTATCCCTGGCTTGTTTGCACTCCTGGAACCAGAGGTAGCTGCCATTAAAGTTACCCTGAAAGCTGGCAAACATGGGCAAGAGAGCAACAAAGCAGAAATCGGGGGAGCAAGTCCAGGTTTGCTGCTTCCTCCGGAAAGCAGCTTATGGCTCAGGCAGCAACAAACCAATGTCAACCCAAACTAGGACCGTACAAAGAGAATCCTCTGGCAGGATGGGGATATCCTTCTTTGGAGGAAGGCTGCCCAGAATATCAGCTCTTACGGACAAACCAGCTAGGCATGCCCTCGTTTCTCGACTAACCAGTGTCCAAAACCATCTGCTGGGTGGGAAAGTCTGGTTTTCTTGGTCTGGGCATCCGAAGTAAGTTTTGCAGTGGTGGGTACAGGTCCTACTGCAAAGCGTGCCATAGAGTTTCACAGCAGATTGTGGAGCGGAGCAGACCTCTAGCTCAGGGTCGTCTCCTGATCAACCCTTTCCAGCCTGATATTCTCCAAATGTTTCGGATTTCGCCTCCCATCAGCCCCAGCCTGGCATGTTTCTTGCTCAAGAATTCTGGGCTTTGCAGTCCACAGCGTCTGTGGGGAAGGCACCTGGTTGCAGAAGGCTGGTGAATTTGGAGTTCAGACAACGAAGAACTCCACCATACTCAAGGGGGCAAGTAGTTTGTCTCCAAACTATGGATTGTTGTTGTATCGTGGTTTTTAAATGAGAGCTGGGCAGGGGGGTTCTTTGCAGTTCTCTGTCATCTTGCCACCTGAGATATTTGGTGTTAGCAGCCCGGTCTCTGGGCCATGCCAAATTTAAAATATCTCTTTGGGGTGGAAGATGGGAATCCCTGGCCAACCGGCTCATCTGGGAATGCAGGTTGTGCTGAGGAGGTGTATATGCATGTTCCACCCCACCCTGAAGGCAATTTTAGCACGTGTGAGATTCTCCACTCCTGCCTCCCTTTCTTCCTTTCTTCCTTTCTTCCTGCCTGCCTGCCTTCCTTCCTTTCTCTTTTTGGCAAAGGGGACATTTTTCTCTTCCTGTTTGGGAGTAACTTCACTTCACCGCCACCACTGCATGTTCTCTCTTTGCCCTTCACCCTTAATAAAACTTCTTTTTGAGAAATCCTCCATCCATGTATGCCAGCCTCAGAAATTCAGCACTTTGGGGATTGCCGTGTGTTTGTGTGTGTGTGTGTGTGTGTGTGTGTTTATTGCATCAGATCTATACCCTGCCTTTTTTCTCTTGTGCAGAACACAAAGCAACCTGCAAGGTTCTCTTGTTCCCCATTTTATCCTCACCACAACAACCCTGTGAGGTAGACCAGGCCTAGAGTCCAGGAGTGGCCCAAAGTCTCCCAGTGACTTGCATGGCTGAGTGAGGACTAGATCCCAGATCTCCGGAGCCCCAACCCAACTTACTCATGACTAAACCAAGGGACCACATCTTTCCCAGGAATGAATTTATGCCAAAGAGCTGTAGAAACAGCTAGTCAAGACAAATTCGTCAACATCTCACAATCAAGAGCAGTAGAGCTCTGAATATAAGTTCTTGCCCAGTTTAAGGACCTTAAAACCAAGCGATCCCTTTCCTGCAGTCATAAATTATTGTGGGCAGATCACAAGTTTGGAAAGCTTTTTTTCCTCCAATTTAAATGATTCAGGTTTTCAGTTTCCCTGGAGACTCCATTATCAGCAAGAAGCGCTTTAAGCGAACATAAGCTGGTTTTTTGGGGCCCATTTCTCAGCCCACGCCAGCATAAGGCCTCTGAGAATCTCTCCGAACTGGAATTTGGCGCTCATGGTGAACAAGAGGCAATGGCCCACTTTAAACAGCTCGGAGCCAGATTAAGCGAACAACCCTCCTGAACCTGTATGAACTTTCTCTGATCCTCTGCACGGTCTCAGAGGTTAGGTTCACGCTTTTCGGTGGTGGCCGCATCCTTGCAGAATGCCCTAGCACAGGATGTGTGCATAGCTTCCTCCCAGACTGTTGACAACAAGGCTTTAGAAGCTTAGGTGTTCCAGCTGGTTTCTTTTAAAGAACCAATACTCTTTTTTCTTGTATAGATTTGACTTGTTGATGTTGATTAAATTGTAGTGTGTTTAGCTACTTTTATGTATTACCAACAGTTTTAAAAACAATCTCATCAGGTAAACAACCTTGCATAAAAATGATTTGCCTTATATAAAACTTTTTAGATAAGTGGATGCATAAATATTTGAGGGTTTCCCCAAAAGATCTGACTATGAGTGTTTACTGGAAAAGTGAGCACTTGGATATAAATAGTCTGTGCATAATATGGTACTGTATATAAAATTCAGTTTCTGAATTGTAAGATTTAACCAAAAAAAGAGGGGGTGGAGCCTCCAAACTTGGTTGTTTCTTTATTTTCTTTTTCATTTTTTTTAAGCAAGATTTTAGTCCTTTGTGCCTTTGATGTTTATTTATGAAAGTGTGGCCAACCCGAGGTGTGCTTTTAAAGCAGCAGCAGCCCAATGTCCTCCACAAGCTGGGGAAGATGGG